TTTTGGCCCTGCCCAGGTGGCTCCTCTTCAATGGTTGCCCAGCCTTGAGCTCTTGCCTCAGTTTAGGAATACAACTGGACAAGAAGTTTGGAGTGAACCCTGGGCAGGAGATGTTGGTCCTGACCACCAGGGTTGTCTGCACCTCCAGCAGGAAAGTGAGAGGGGTGGGGTGGTGTGAGAGCAATGCCAGTGGGAGGCCCAGGCTTTGGGTGCAGGGCCTCCTGAATCAGGGGTAGCTGCATGGGAGGGGAGAGGACCTCAGGCAGAGCTGCAGGGTGGGGAATTAGCTCAAGTGGTAGAGCACTCGCTTAGCATGCGAGAGGGAGCGGGATCGATGCCCGCATTCTCCAAAGGTTTTAATTCCCATTACCTGGACACACAGGTGTCCTTTGTCCTCTTGGGTCTGTGGGGAGCCTTTGTTGTACCCAAAGACTGCATCAGGAGTAGCATAGGTCACTGGCATAGGCACAACATTATCCCTCCTTGTTTGGCAGTAATTAAATGCCATTCAGAGTACTTCACATATTTCCTAATAAATTTCTTAATCACCATTATACTCTGTCACAGAGGTATCAACCTGTTGGAGCAAGTCCAGAGGAGGGACACCACGATAATTAGAGGAATGGAGCTCCTCTCCTATGAGGAAAGGCTAAGAGATCCGGTATTATTCAGCCTGTAAAAGAGAACCTTTCAGGGTGACTTAACTGGGATCTTCCAGCACCTAGAGGGCCTACAAGAGAGCTGAAGAGGGACCTTTGACAAGGGCATGCAGTGATAGGACAAGGGAGAATGGCTGTAGACTGAAAGAGGCTAAGTTTAGATTAGATATTAAGAAGAAATTCTTAACTGTGAGGGTGGTGAGACACTGGAACAGGTTGCCCAGAGAAGCTGTGGATGCCCCGTCCCTGGAAGTGTTCAAAGCCAGACTGGATGAGGCTCTGAGCAACCTGGTCTAGTGAAAGGTGTCCCTGCCCAGGACAGAGGAATGGAACTAGATGATATTTAAGGTCTCTTCCAACCCAAATCACTCTATGATTTTTTTTGTAAGTAGTCTATAAAACAGTATCTTTTGAAACTTCTGAAGAAAAGAAATCCAGTATCTTTATGCATATTACTTCACTGTCAGACTGGAAAGCCAAAGTCAAAGTACAGTTCAAGTTATTATGCCAAAAAAAGATTCTAAAGATTATTTTTGTATGGTATTGAAGATAAACAGACCTCCTTTGAAATTCTGCTGATTAGAAGCCTATTAGCTTTACTCTTTGATAAATTAGATTGTGTCAAACTCCAAATAAAAGCACAGAGAGGTACATCTGTCATGTTTATTAAAAAGTAAATTTTGCCCCGGGCTGTAGTAGTAAGATTAATAGTGACTTAATTAATAATGGCAGGAAACTCAGAATCAGGTATTGCTGGTTTTATACCTTGTACTAAAGAATACCAGTTCAGTAGCAGATTTTTGGATTAGCATAAATTAAAAGATAATTAAAGCAAATCTATGAGACTGACTCATCATTTTATCTTGCAAATATTTACAGCTACTCCATTAAAAGTGAATCCCTCTGACATTTCCACTTTAGTCAGAAGCAGCCTTTTTTTTTCTCTAATTACTAATAGAGATGGAGAAAGCACCACTGTCAGTTTTGCCATAGATCACTATGTAAATCATCTGTATTCATGTTCAGCACTAAATAAAGTTAATTCCTTTCTACGTTCTTCCATGACAACTCTCTCCATTGGGGATTAAAGAAGGCCTCCTTTACAGAAAATTAGATGTAAAAGCAACAGGAAGACATGAGGTTTGTTACAAAATATAGTTTCTGCAGCCAAGCTATACTACAAGGACACAGAAGGTGCAAGTCATGAGTGAATTTGATAATGTAGTAAGCTTTTTCCCCAGTGGTATGATTATGCAAGACAACAGAACAATGGGATGTCAACAGTTTTCCTTCCATTGTGTGAAAAGTTTGGACAGTCACTACTTCTGCCTCCATGGGCAGAAAGGAACAGAAAGGGGAGAAATGAATTTGTTCAAAAACATGGAGGACAGAGTTCTGGCAAAATTCAAGCTAAGCAATGACACAAGTAGACCTATTTCATAACCCCTTTCTGAGTTCAAATATATTCTTACATTTCATAGGAAAAGCAAGCCACATTAAAGTTTAACTGGTAATACAGTGCAACCAACAACACCCAGAATGATGCTGTAATAAAAGCTTTACAATATTTCTTAAACCTGAAAGTACATGTCTGATATATTTCACTGCCAATACAATTTATTTCACTCATGACATTTAAAGTTCTTTCTCTTTCAACAGCAGCCAAACAGATTTAGGAGCAAAATGACCCATAAAATCTTCTGGTCTTACTCCTAGGTCTTGTTACATTTCACCACTAAAATATTTTTCACCATTTTGGTAATTTGTCTTTGGGTAAAACTTGTCTTCATGTCCTCTCTTCTTTTTCAATAGAGAAACTACTGTTTTCTGTGCCATATTTTTCAGTAGTTGGTTACATTCACAATTAAAACCATGTACCTTTTTCAGCTCAAATAATTTTCAAATTTCAAGCATTGGTTTTGGTTATGCCTGCCTTCATAAAGTGAAGAACCCTCTTACACCTAGCAATTTTCCCTTTCAAGGATATTGCACGCTCTAATCAAATAATCTGTTGGTCTTCTTTATTTTTTTTCTGACAAGATAAATGAATCGGACTCTTTATATCTCTGACTCTACTTCTCAAATTATCATTATAGCACTTTTTTGCATTGGCTTTACTTTTCAACATACTTCAGGAAAAAGCTGTTATAAAACAAGAACTGGGTGCAGTATTTGAAGACTGTGCTTCACAAGCACAGCCTGTGTTAGTTTATCCTAACAGTCTGACCTCTCATGCAGTTAGATTAAAACATTTCAGATAGAGCACAGATTGTCTGTGGGATGAAATCGATAGATTCACATTGCATCAACTTGCATTCTTTTCAGGCTCACAGGTAAAAAAAAAAGAAAAGATTGTTGCAATGAATGTCTACAGCACAGGTAATTCAAAAAGTTACCTGGTATAATCATGCCAGACACATAAGCATTTTTAGACCTGTTGCAAAGCACACTTTACATACCTGTAGGACTTCTTAATCTCATCATGTGTTGCTCCTTTTTCTAGTGCCAGGATTTCATACAATGCTTCACCTGATGTTGACAAAGCACGTTGCCTTTGTTCAGCCATGTTGGCAGTGCATTACCAAAGCTGCCAATGTAAAACATAATTTAAAACACCAGGGACTGCAAGTATATATGGATAGTATTTCTTATCATTCATTTTAATAGCTTTTTATGAGGCAGTAACCAGCTAAAAATACATGAAAGTGAATCTAGAATAAAATCTCCTCTTAATTATCCTCTGTCCTTCGAGATATTTTACAATTAGAAAAACATGAGAAAATGGAAAAGCCAAAGAACAGAAGCTTTTGTTTTAGTACCACTGTTCATACTAAAGGCTTGATGTTGCTGTCACTGAATTGATTGCCTAAATTTGCTTCAGCATTAATAACCGAACATTATATTCCCACCTAGTTTTAGCTGTGATTGTTTATGTCTCTCTCTATTAACTCTATAGTGTGCTCACTATGACTGCATTCCTAACTCACAAGTCTGAGGACAGGTGGAATGAATCTGGACCT